CTCCGCCGGGAGAGGCGCGGGGAGGCGGCTGGCGGGAGAGCTCCGGGGAACGACCTGGAGAGAGGGGGCCGGGTCACAGCCCGCCTGGGGGCTGGTTCTCGGGAAGGTGGAGCGGGGCCTTCTGTTCTAGCTGTCTCCTAACACGGAACAGGGTGGCACGTTCCAAACAGAGCAGCAACGCTTCTTCACACAACTCAGAGTCAATCCGTGGGGTCAAACAGAGGAGCAAAAGATTGTCCATTGGGATTGGATGGGGTAGTGTGGAGAGAGGGAGCCCTGGTGCTCTGCCCCCTGGCCTGCTGGGGAGTGGACACTTCATCGAGGGTGGGTAAGGATTCTGATCCCCCGCACTGTGAGGCAATTGGAGATTGACTGATGAATAGCACTAGATAAACCTAGGGGTTATCTATACTGATAGCAAGACCATTCCGAGTTGTAATAATTAATGCTAACAAATTTTGGAAGAGATGTTAAATGTCATAATTCAGGTTTTTAACCCCATTTCTAGTTATTAGAGATTAAGAGGGGAATAACCTAAAATGAAGGGCAAATTATCCAACTTCTACCTAATGCAAGGGTGGTTGCTGATGCTGACCACTAGGTCTGATCCAGCCTGGCTCTTTCTGTGTTTCCTGTTACTCACTCCACCTATGACAGAGGTCTCGGGTTTGATACTAGAAAATCCACGCTCGTCTGTAGATCAGAAAAGGAACCAGTGGGGGAGTAATCTCTGTAGCCAACTCATCCCAGCCTCATAGGGAAAAGCTTGCAGTCAGTGTGCTGGTCTCACCACATAAATCCAGCCCCATATCAGGCATCAAATGTCATGCAAGCTCAGCACCGTCTGATATGGATAAAGGAGACATATTAGATGGATGACGTGCAAAGCATTCACAAAGGCTCATTACTCACCTTGGGTCTATTAAATTGTAAGCTCCTTGGGCTGGGAATGAGCCTTGCTCTGTATGTAAAGTACTCTGTCAGCCTTTGAAAATGCAAGTGATTTAAGAAGGAAAATATAATCACAAGACTTATCAAATCACCGCTGATCTGCAGACAATAGCAGCCTCCCAACCTTTGTTATCCGTTAGAACTGATTTACTTCCATTTGCAATTCCTATAGAAATCATAGAGCTGGAAGAGACCTCAGAAGGTCATCAAGTCCAGCCCCCTGCCCAAGGCAGGACCAATCCCAAATAAATCAAGCCAGCCAGGGCTTTGTCAAGCCAAGACTTAACTCTCATGATTGTATCACAAATTGAAAAGGAAAAGGTCCCCAAATAGTATGAATTATCATCCAGTGAGCAAGAAGGCAGCCTCCACTGTCCTTGTGAAATACCCCTTCTCAATCTACTCTATGAAGAAGCCAATCTCTATAAAAACATTGAGAAGTCAAAATCCAAAGGCTAAATCTTTAGATCTGTGTTGTGCTATATTAGCATCCCCCTGATAAGAGGGAACCTTTGACTAGCACCAACTTTACAGCATCCCTTTTTGCCTTTCTCCCAATGTGGGGAGTGA